GTTAGAATTCATTGTGTGTTTTTACTGTCAAATCAATCGAAAAACAGTCTGATCTATCTATCTTAAAGAAAAGACAAGTACAATCTGCTTGCACCCCATGTTTGTTTTTCAAAAATCGATTATTTTGGCGAGATTTAGACGAATTTTTTGAAATAACATTTTATTGTGACTTGTGTCAAAAAAATAATTTCAAGAAATGCAGATCTTAATTTACCAACGCGTTTCATGCACTTTATTGAAATATTAAAACACTCATCAGGGCTCTGCATGATATGTTTAAGCACAAGATAAAAGACAACAAAAAAAAATTATATATGCCGATGTAAAAACAAACAAAACATACTAGACCAAAAAGAAAAAAAAAATAATAGATAAGAAGGACAGAAGAAAAGGAAAAAGCAAATGTAACTCTTTCAATAACTATAATAATACCAATTTTAAAAACTGTAATCATTTATGTAATATTAAAAAGGTTTTTATTTTTCATCATTTTGATTGTAAGAAGATATTCGATTACGTTCATCATAAGTAACATATTTTAATTTATATTTGTCTAAATTCATTTATATTTAAATTTTAGAAAAAAGATTTCTGTAAAATTAATGAAATAAATCTATTTAATATATTGTAACAAATGTAATTCTTCATTATAAGTTATACATTTTAATTTTAATATTTATAAGTTCATTTATATTCAAATTTTTTAACAAAAGTTTCGTAAAATTAATGAAACCAATCTATATTGATTAAATTATATCGTAACAGATATAATTCTTCATTATAAGTTACACACTTTAATTTTTATTTTTATAAATTAATTTATATTTAAATTGTTTTTTAAAGAATATTTTCATAAAGACAATATAAGAAATCTATTTTAATTTCAATTTTTTAACAAAAACAGCTTAGATAAATGTTATTTATTGCGTATTAGTTGTTGTTGTGAATTTCTAACATGATGAGTACCTAAGACCGGTTTTATTTCATTTATTTGAGACTTAATGAAGTATTTGTTCCAAAGAGCATGAAATTTTGCCGGAAATGTTTTCAAACTTAAACAATACGTAAAATGAACGAACATTGTTTTACCATAATCAATTGGAATTTTTCTTTCATATCTACATAGATCATCTTCTCTCGCAATGTATTATAATTTCTTGTCGATAATGGTTGATTAATATTATATTTTTGAAATACATAGCTAAATTGTTTCTCTATAAATTCGCCAGGATATTTATTTAATAAAAAAATCATTCTTAATTTTTCAAGTTCATTAAAATATGCTTCGAATATTGAACAATATTTAATAGTACGAATTAACATACCAAATAGAATATTCTTCTTTATATGCGTAGAATAAACACTATTAAAAGGTAAATAATATGACTCGTAAGATAGTTTATGATAAACTTCTGTAAATAATTCGTCATTTTTATTTTCTATATATAAATCAAGAAAATTTGTTGAATAACCAACTTGTGCTTCTAATTTAATGCTTGAATCAAATTTATTCCATCGATAAATTTCTTTCAATAAATGTTGAGTAGGCCAATTAATCGTAATAAATATATCATCAATATATCGGAAATACAATCTATCACCATTGTTAATTTGTTTTATGATATCTTGTTCAAAAAAAAACATATAACAATTAGCAACTGTTAATGTTAATGGAGAGTTCGTAGCACTACCACGTACTAGATAATAACATTTACCATTATAAGAAAAATAATTATTTTGTACAATGAATCAACACAAAAGAATAATAGTTTCAATTTTTAAACCATTAATTTGTTTTATATTTAAGTAATCTAGCATTTTTTGTGAAACACGATCTGAAAGGAGTGTTGAGGTGTATAGGGTAGAAATTTTGGACGCACTTCCCCCGCCCCCTCCCCCACAGACTGTGACAGAGAAAATTCATACCAATCACAGACCGTGATAGAGAACCTTCGGACCAGGGCTGCCAAACCTCCTGGTTTTTTTACTTTTGTCCTGGTTAAAAATTCTCCTGGTAACAGGAGCTGGTTTTTGAGATTTTCTCCTGGTTTCTGAATTTTCTTTT